GGCGTGCCCGTGCGGATCCGCCAACGGTGATGATAGGAGGAAAAGGACGACAATGACAATGGCGGCGACAGTGATGGGAGGACGAGGAGGATGGCGACGACGGTGGCGGTGACGGTCGGGAGGATGAGGACGAGGACAACGACGGCGGCGACAAGAGGACAAGGACGACGACGATAAGAGGATTCTAGGGTCAGGGTTTCGAAGTAGGTTTTCGATTTTTGGAATTTTTTTTTGCGATTTTTCCTTTTCGCACGTGGACGGCTTAAGCGCCCGCATGCGAAAATTAAATTTTTCACATATGGTTTCTCTATCCACATACAAAAATTTGATTTTCGTAGACGACACTTTGGTGCGGGCTAGCCACCCACCCGCTTACAAAATTCGATTTTGGTCGCATGGGAAAATCGAATCTGTAGTGGATACTGTGTATTCACCATGGACTAAGAGCTTCCAAGTTATCTGATCTGGTTGGCCGTGGGTCAAATAAATCCAAATCAATAAATCATACAGGTGCGTGCTACTGTAGTGGATGTGAAGGATACCCTTTGTATTGAAGCACGTTTGAAAGCTTTGATAAGGCACATACGTGTGGATGAAACCATTCTCGATCTGGATCTAAGCTAGGAGTCTTATTCAGAGAGATATTCCAAAATGGACAGCGACCCAGGTCTTTTTATTTATCTGGAAAATTTCGAGTCTTTCGTCTCATATCTATAGTACATAAATATTCAGCATCACCTTAAATCCTTGATCCAAATTCTTCACATGGTTCCATTAATTTAGAGTGATCATTGCAGCTTTGAATACCAAAAAAATATCTTCGTTTCCCGTCTGTGATCGACGTGAACAGGTAATTAATCGTTGTCGATTCAGAACGGTGATGAATAATAACATGTGGGAATCAAGTTGACCGCCAGTTCTTCCTCTAATCCATGTGAGCATGCGTGGCCATATGGCAATGCAGTGTACACTGCAAGCTTCCGTTCGATGACCAAGCAAATGTGATGCAATATATTGGAACACAACTAGGGGTGTGTTTAGTTCACGCTAAAATTAGAAGTTTTGTTAAAATTAGAACGATGTGGCGGAAAAGTTGAAAGTTTGTATGTGTATGAAAGTTTTGATGTGATGAAAAAATTAAAAGTTTAAAGTAAAAAGTTTAAAACTAAACTCGGCCTAAGTCGTGCTGTGAATGCAAAAAATTCCAAGATATACAAAGGGACCTAGTGGAGGTGGTACCAGAGCATGCTGGATTGCACTGTACTCCAGAAGTATGGCACATGATTAGCCTTAAAGACGATAATTGAGCACACAACCGGTACACGTCCTGATAACTCTACGATGAGTGGATCACGTCGCTGTACATCGTGATTGCACAGATATTTTACCGTAAACATTATAGTATTTTCTCTATTTTATAATATAAGATGTTTTGATTTCAATAGATTTATGCATGTATCCATGTATATCCTTCATATATTTATCAAATTTGTACCGATGTTAGCAAATCTAATGAGAAATGAAGGTATCAAAATATTTTATAATGTGAAATGAGGGTGTAAAATCCAACGCATAGCCGTGTACATTGTGAAGTTATCTAAGAGCAGGTACAATAGCAGACTATAAGCCAGCTAGCTATAAACATATTTTAAAGAGATAAAGGAAGAGAGAGAAGAGCAGCGGGCTACAGATCTGTAGCCAGCTGCAGCACGGACTCCAAGACACAATGTGTGTATGACAGGTAGGATCATATACTAATAGTATAGTAAGCAACTATTGTATGAATTGGATATTAGATTGACTATAGATGAATTGGAGCTATTAGTGGGCTATACTATTAAACTTGCTCTAAGAGCAAAATCGGCCAGAATAATCCATTTATATTTATTGGTTTGAAAAGATGCAATTGAGTGCACATCGGACCGTCGCTGCCTCTCCCCCTCAGGCTGTGGACGAACAAGCGGAAACACTAATGCACGATCAATCGCTACCGCGAGGGGCGAGGGGGTAGCGATCACCACCCCTCCCCCCTCCCTCCCTCCATGTTTTCTTTTTTGGCACCGCATTACTTTCCTATTTTAGTCAATTTATACACCTAAAGTTTATACGTCTAAAGTTTATAGACCCAAAGTTTATAAATCAAAAGTTTATATATCCAATTCAAATTTAAATTCAAGTTTAAATATTTTTATAGTATTTCTATACATCTAAAGTTTATACACCTAAAGTTTATAGACCCAAAGTTTATAAATCAAAAGTTTATATACCCGACTTCAAATTTGAATCGGGTATATAAAATTTAGGTCTATAAACTTTAGGTGTATAAACTTTAGATGTATAGAAATACTATATATGAAAAAATTTGAATTCAAATTCAAATTTGAATCGGATATATAAACTTTTGACTTATAAACTTTAGGTGTATAAACTTTAGATGTATAGAAATACTATATATAAAAAAATATTTGAATTCAAATTCAAATTTGAATCAGATATATAAATTTTTGACTTATAAATTGTTGATCTCTAAACTTTAAATGTGTAAACTTGAGGCGTATAAACTTTAGGCGTATAAATTTATTAAAATAGAAAAGTAATGCAGTGCCAAAAAAGAAAACCAGGTGAAGGGAGGAGGGGGGCTACCGATCGCTACCAGATCGGTAGGGCGATCGATCGCCCATTAGAACTACCCACGAACAAGTCCAACGCAGAAAGTTACGTTCCACCGGAGAAAACAACCTATTAGGCATGGGCCTCCGGAATAACACAACGGCGAGCTTTTCAGTCCCACTCACCAAGTGCCGCGAGCGCGTGACATATGACCGCCCCTCCCGTCGGCTGCCAGCTGCGCTGTACTACGACTGCGCACCGTCGTACGTACGCCGTGCCGTTTTCGGCTCGTTTTCCCGTGCAGGCGCTGCCGACGCGCGCCGACGCCTCACCTCGATCGGCCGGTGACTACTGTCTCTCGGCACCTCGCGCGCCCGACGCTTCACCTCGATCGATCTCTCGCGCCCCGCGCGCGTCGTCAGTCACCTCTCGCTCTCGGCGACTTCAGTTGGGCGCAGCAACTTAACGCGTGCGTGATTAGCTTTGCGGTGAACCGAGCAGTCGACCACGCGCACATGCCGTGCCGCGCCGCCTGCGAGCTGATCACCGGCAATTAGCGGATGGTGCGCGGTGCGCGTGCGTGGACGTACAGCTGCGCGGGTAATCATCCGGTGGCTTTTGGTGTTCGCCACTTCGCCGGGTCACGGTCTTTGGCAGTGGATGGACACTTGGCACCGCCAGATGGCACGTATGGAAAGCTGAACCCCCAGTAGTGCCAAAGGGCAGACAGTTCATGGTTGGCACTTGGCAGACGCCATGATACGGGACGATATCATAGCTCATGACTGTTCGTGATACTGCAAGTACAGCTTTAAGCTTTGGCCTCTTCTCGTTTAGTTAAAGTGGGCCTGGATGAAGTGGAGCAGATGCCATAGCCCAGAGAGGCAAAGCAAAGGTTATTAAAATGGAAAAAAGTTCACTTTAGACCCCGTCAAGAGAGATCGAGTTTTTTCACAGCCCTTAACCGTAATCAGATATATAGCACCCTCAACTTCTAAATTTAGTGCAATTTGAGTCCCTTGACTATTTTAGATGGTGGTTTTATCCTACGTAATGTCTACATGGCTTTAGAAGAAAAATAAAACAACAAAAAAACTTAACAGGTCCCACATGCCAGTTAGAAAAAACAATAAAAAGTATTAGGCCCATATATCAGTCAGCTCTCTCTCTCTGTCTTTACTCTTTTCCTCTCTACCCCACTCTCTCCCTCACTCTCACCCTGTTCTCCCTTTCAACTTCCATGGCAGGATAGAGCCGATGAGGGAGTGTGTGCCGGTGACCGACAGTAACGGAAGGGATCTTGGTTGAGGGGTATCGAGACTGGAATCAATCGTAGACTGTGCGATCACGAAGGTGGCGCTCAAGTGGGAGCCTATTTGTCCTGATGAGCTTGAGCTCGCCAGCCCATCCATAGGAAGGGAAGGCTAACAACGTGGTGGGTGGCTAGCACGAAGGGGGCCACAGCAACAGAGGAGAGGAGGACATATGGGTGGGAGAGGGGCATAAAGGAAGGAGGTGAGGGAGTCGTCGTCTCGTTTATGGCAAGATGGAAGTGGCTCGCCCTTAGCCATCATCATCGTTGGCTAGCTCACGGCCACATGGCATGATTTGGCCACAAGCCGCCGCTCCCAAAAATAGCGTTCTGCTCGGGCAGCTTCTTCCCCTGTTGTTGGCCTCAAGGTCGATGGCCATAGCATGCTTGCTGTGGAGGATGGGCTCATAAGCTTGTGTGCAGTCTAGATAGCGTCCAAGACCACCATCTCGGCTCCTCTTTGGCCGATGGAGCGCTTTTAAATTGGTTTCACTCATCTAGTAGAGGCGTCGGAATAAGTTCACTTTGAGTCCCTCTATTTGTCACCCAGTCCGATTTTCATCCCTTAACCACAAAACCAGGTACGATCCGTCCCCTAACTTATGAAAACCAGGCAAACGAGATCTCTCGGCGGTTTTAATAGCAGTTTTGGCTGACATGGCGCCTACGTGGCTAATTTGACCCGGTCTTCATCTGACATGGCACTGGCGTGGCGCTTACGTGCCAATTCGATCTGGAAAAATAATAAAGCACGTGGGACCCACATGTCATCTTCACAGACAAAATAATAAAAAATTGTGGGACCCACGTGGGCCCCACATGTCATACTCACCTCCTCATCTTCTTCCTCCCTCTCCATCTGTCTCCCCTCCTCTCTCCAGCCTCCAAGCGCCGTGGCCCACGGGGTTACGGGGAGGTCCGGCAGTGGCGGCCGCCCGCCCCGACGAGCTCCACCTACTCCCCCCTCCCCTCTCATCTTCTTCCTCCCTCTCCATCTGTCTCCCCTCCTCTCTCCAGCCTCCAAGCGCCGTAGCCCACGGGTTCACAGGGAGGTCTGGCGGTGGCGGCTGCCCGCCCCGACGAGCTCCACCTACTCGCCCCCACACCCCCCCCCTCCCCCGCAATCGGCGTTGCTGTTGGGATGGAAGGGCGCGAGGGTGGGGAGCTCGGGTCGGCGTACAAGGCCGCCATGCTCAACGGCGTCACCGTCGCCGTGAAGCGGATGCGCGACATGAACCGCGTCGAGTTCGAGGAGCACATCCAGATGCTCGGTGACCTCCGCCACCCCAACGTCCTCTCCCCCGTCGGCTACCATTATCGCAGGGAAGAAAAGCTCATCGTCTCCGAGTTCATGCCACGTGGCAGCCTCCTCTACGTCCTCCACGGTAATAATAATGACAGCAAATACTAGTAGTTCTTAATCAACTACTAATCTCGATTATAGTTTGCTAATTACGATGTGTTTGTTTGTTGGTTAAGGTGACCAGCGCCCGGACAGGGTGGTGCTGGATTGGCCGGCGAGGATGAGGATCGCCGTCGGCGTGGTGCGAGGCATGGCGTACCTCCACGAGAAGCTGGGGATCCCGACGATGAGGCTGGTGAGCATGGACGGCGCCGACTTCGACGCCATCCACTCCTGCCGCCGTGGACATCTCACACTACTCGCCGTCTGAGGTCTGCACCGCCTCCACATTGAGCTGCCCACCGGCGAGCTCGGCATCGAGGACGGCGTGCTCCTCAAGTGGAAGGCTGACTTCGGCGTACAAGGCCGCCATGCGCAACTTCCATCCCAACAACAATGCCGATCGAGGGGGGGGGGGGGGGGCGGGAGTAGGTGGAGCTCGTCGGGGCGAGCGGCTGTCGCGTCGCTGGCCGCCACCGCCGGACCTCCCCGTGACTCCGTGGGCCATGGCACCTGGAGGCTAGAGAGAGGAGGGGAGAGAGATGGAGAGAGGGGAGATGGAGAGGGAGGAGGAAGAAGATGAGGGGTGAGTATGACATGTGGGTCCCACCATTTTTTTATTATTTTGTATGTGAAAGTGACATGTGGGTCCCATAGACTTTATTTTTTTTTCGGATCGAATTGCCACGTAAGCACCACGTCAGTGCCATGTCAGATGAAAACCGGGTCAAATTAGCCACTTAGGCGCCACGTCAGCCAATACCGCTATCAAAACCCCCGAGGGACTTCCGGTTTTCGTATGTTGGGGGACGGGTTGTACCCGGTTTTGTGGTTAAGGGACGAAAATCGGACTGGACGACAAATAGAGGGACCATAAGTGAACTTATTCCTAGAGGCGTCATATGCCTCACACAGAGCCCATTTGCAGCCCATCTTGACGTATGCAGCAGTTTCATGGGCCTGGTTTCTGGCGTTACTCGTCTGGCCCGAAAACCACTCTATTAATTCCATTTGCATCTGCCTTCGCGAATCGCGATTGTTGATGGTAGTAGACGGCTTCAGAATTTGAGTGCAGGACTGTTAACATTAGGGAGCTTCTGTACACGACGAAGCATGTATCTCCCCATCTGAGACAGACAATTCTTCGAGTGCGAAGCATCCGTGGCACTTCTATGTGCACGATTCCTCGAGTGCTACAAACGGTTTCGCTACCAACAACGGCTCGTGTTCTTCTGAAGGAATCTGACGTGACGTGCAGCGGCAGGGCACTTGACTGACCGATGAGTTCGTTGCTTTCCCGGCCCGTTTGCCACTCCTGGTACGCTTCCTCCTTGGATAATACTACTCCTACTACTACTATATTTTGGTTTCTACTAATGACTATTATAATTTTTTTGTGAACCGTAGACTTTGGTGTTGGCTGGCGTTCTAATCAATCACCAAACGTTCTACTACTGCATATACTACTCCTATACCTCTTAAATATTGCACCACTAGTACTATATAAAAATGGTTATGAAATGACACTGATATGTACTCAGTAAAAGGGTGTTTGGAAACTAGGGACTAAATTTAGTCCCTCTCATAAAAGCATAAGGTGGTGTTTGGTTGGAGGGACTAAAGTGGAGCTAAACTTTAGTCCCTCTCACAAAAAATTTAGCCCCACTTTAGTCCCTCCAACCAAACACCACCTAAAGTGACCAACATTTTACTTTTATAGTACTCCGTATTAAGCCTCTTGCAGAAAGTAGGGATCTGCTCGGTTACTACTGTAGTAAGGTTGTGTTTAGATCCAAAGTTTGGATCCTCCTTTTCCATCACATCAACCTGTCATACACACATAACTTTTCAGTCACATCATCTCCAATTTCAACCAAAATCTAAACTTTGCGCTGAACTAAACACAGCCTAAACAAATCTATTTCTATAGGTTAACCTACTCCCTCCGTAAAGAAAAATAAATCAAAACCCAAAATCGGTTTTTTTTACGAAGTACGTGTTTTCCAAAAGACTATTATGATATAACTTGTCACGCATTTATTCCCAAATACGACCATAGCTAAAATTTTGATTGAGAGAAACAAATTTACTCATGATAACATGGATAAATCTATATTAGTTTATTTTTAATTTTACGGTATTCTAAATTTATTCTAAATTCTACTACTAGCTTAAAAATTAAAATATCATATATAATAACCAACCTAATAGCCCACCCACACAACAGTCAATTATAGATCTATATTACATCATTAATATCTAACTTACTCACCTCTCACATAATAGTAGTTTATTAGAGTACGTATTACAGCTTATGAATCTATTCATTTCTTCTCTCATTCATGTGTCATTTACATCATCTTTGTTATACTCAGCTTTAAGATGTACACTACATATTTTTTTTCTCACAAATTTGTTATACTCACTTTAGGATTTACACTGCATATTTTTCCCACAAAAAAACTCTGATACCCTCACCAACTACCAGTCAGAACCCGTTTCTATCACAGAACAATCGTAGCGAGGGGAGGGGAAAAAGACGACCCCGAATCGCCTTAAGACAGTGGGTGTTCTTGTCGTGCGCTTCACCGTTTGTCTTGTTGGACCCGGAGACCCCACATATCCAGATCTGCAAGCTTCCTCCTCCTCCTTCCTCCTGATCCTTTAGCTTCCTATATACGATTCCACCATCGAAGGCCAGGGCCCAGACTTGCTTGCCGCAGGTTACTGATCCACCGAAGGAGGGAGGCGCCCGCCCGCCGCCATGGCCGAGGTGACGGTGGTCCGTGCGGAGCGCGAGGAGGAGTCCACCCTGGAGCAGGGTCTCCTCGCCATCCCGGAGGTGAGTTTGAATCCGCCCTCTGTTTCTTTGGCGCGCCGGCGGTGAATCAGCGATCGTGCTTGTGAATCGTGTTGAGAATTTTTTTTTCGTTCTTTTTTTTGGGAGGTGAATCGCTGTTTTCGATTTCAGTGAGGAGTGAGGAATATGTTAGGGTTGTTTGTTTAGGTACACCACCTTAAGTCTTCGGCTGAGCGGAAAATTGGAAGGGAAATATTTCTCTTCTATGTATTCGATATCGATTCGTGGAAGTTAACTTTGCTGAACAATCGTCCCTACTTATAGCTTTTTTTTTAAAAAAAAAACAACTAATATCTGTTTGTTCTATTTTTCTTAATTTTTAAGCAAAAAAAAATTCTGGCTTGTGGATTATTCAACTCCTGTACTGCGCAATATGGGAAAATGGCATCCTTGTCCTGGAAGGACTTACGATAATTTTGGCTGCCGCATGCCAACGCAACTACCTAGGAACCAGCATAGTGCTGCAGCAGTACAGCTGCTTCCTTTGCGTCTGAACTCTGAATGTTGAAGTCAAGTATACAGTTTAGATTTGTGGTCTTACTGAATTGATACATTATTCAGTCAGCAATGCACATTTAAACTTAAGTTACTCTGTGACGACTGTCAATGCACATTGATTTCTTACCGAGTTAAAAGTTCTCTATAGTCATTATAAGCTGTTCAGTTATTGCCCAACAAAAATTGTTTGATGAGATGGCACTGTAAATATCTTTATTCCAGGAATCCAACCAACTTACATACACTGGAGATGGATCTGTCGACTTTTCTGGGAATCCTGTTGTGAAGGAGAGAACTGGTAGATGGAGGGCATGCCCATTTATCTTAGGTAATTTTCTAACACTAATCTACAAGGTATCAAGGTCTATTATTATGTCGGCATCTGCAATGATATATAATTAACTACCATCACTGACCACAGGTAATGAGTGCTGTGAGCGGTTGGCCTATTATGGAATCTCCACAAACCTTGTTACATACTTGACAAAGAAACTGCATGATGGTAATGCTTCTGCTGCTAGCAATGTGACTGCATGGCAGGGAACTTGCTACTTAACTCCCCTTATTGGAGCTATACTGGCTGATGCATACTGGGGAAGGTATTGGACTATTGCAACATTCTCCACGATATACTTCATTGTAAGTCATCTTTCTCCTGATATTTTATGGTGTACCATGTATCAGTTCTTTTATGGACTCCTCAAAATGAAAGAAGAAACATTTATTAGCTATGAATGTAGAAATGGTTTGTGAATGTGGTATATATATATACGCTCTCAGATTAGTGAGTATGTGATGCAGCTTCTCAAACTTAAGATGGCCTGCTGTACTCTTTCCCAATTCTTAAATGAACTGCTAGGAAGGGTAGAGCTGAGTAGATCTGTTTCTTTACTGTCTACTGAATAGGCCTGTAATTCTTGTGTACAAGCTCTCTTCATAGGCTCATAGCTGTCCGTATTTGAACTGCTGAACCGAACTGATTCTATAATTTGACCGGGTTACATTGTTATATTTACATCATATTTTGATTGTAGGGGATGGCTGTACTGACTCTTTCAGCATCAGTTCCTACATTCATGCCTCCACCTTGCGAAGGGTCCTTTTGCCCACCAGCAAATCCATTGCAGTATACTGTCTTTTTTCTTGGACTTTACCTAATTGCTCTTGGTACTGGTGGTATTAAGCCCTGTGTCTCATCCTTTGGAGCAGATCAATTTGATGATACAGACCCAGTTGAGCGAATCCAGAAGGGATCTTTCTTTAACTGGTTCTATTTCTCAATAAACATTGGTGCTCTCATATCAAGCAGTTTTCTGGTTTGGGTGCAAGACAATATAGGATGGGGAATAGGCTTTGGCATTCCAACAATTTTCATGGGGCTGGCCATCATAAGTTTCTTCTCTGGAACATCACTTTATAGATTCCAAAAGCCAGGCGGCAGTCCTATTACACGAGTATGCCAGGTGGTTGTTGCCTCCTTTCGCAAGTGGAACGTACATGTTCCAGAGGATAGCTCTCGCTTGTATGAGTTGCCTGATGGGGCTTCAGCAATTGAAGGGAGTCGGCAATTGGAGCACACCGATGAACTCAGGTGTGTTCCTCTCTGAGCTAAAATTGCAGCAGCAGCAGACCATAGCTCAGTGCACAATTCCTAGCAGCTCTTGGCCCTTGAAGAACTAGGAAAATATATTTTCTGAAAGTTATTAGGTGTAGTGTTTCTCTTCTTCTTTTTGTGATGGTTAACATTTTAGTTTTGATAAATTGCGACTTAAATATTATAGATACTGGCCTTTTGGCCTAGCGCTTTAGAAAAAATAGCTAAATATTTATGTTTGACTTTTGATATCTGCTCGTCCTCTATTTCCATATTTGCCGAGAAACTAACGACCTAACATATATACTCTCAATGATATTCATTTCAGATGTCTGGACAAAGCTGCTACAATTACTGATCTTGATGTGAAAGCAGATAGCTTTACAAACCCATGGCGAATATGCACTGTGACTCAGGTGGAAGAACTGAAGATATTGGTAAGGATGTTCCCTGTCTGGGCAACGACTATTGTGTTTTCTGCTGTCTATGCTCAGATGTCCACCATGTTTGTTGAGCAAGGGATGATGCTTGATACATCAGTAGGTCCATTCAAGATTCCTCCAGCATCTCTATCTACCTTTGATGTGGTAAGTGTCATTATATGGGTCCCCCTCTATGATAGTATCTTGGTTCCAATAGCTAGGAGGTTCACTGGCAACCCGAGGGGCTTTACAGAGTTACAGAGGATGGGGATTGGTTTGGTAATCTCAATCTTTTCGATGGCGGCAGCTGCAGTTCTTGAGATTAAAAGGTTGGACATTGCAAGGGCTGAACATTTGGTGGATCAAAATGTTCCAGTACCACTGAACATCTGCTGGCAAATTCCTCAATATTTCTTGGTTGGTGCCTCAGAGGTCTTCACATTTGTCGGGTCACTTGAGTTCTTCTATGATCAATCACCGGATGCCATGAGGAGCCTCTGCAGCGCACTGCAGCTTGTCACAACAGCTCTTGGGAATTATCTCAGTGCATTCATTTTGACATTGGTTGCGTACTTCACAACAAGAGGAGGAAATCCTGGATGGATTCCTGATAACTTGAATCAAGGTCACCTAGATTATTTCTTCTGGCTTCTTGCTGGGCTCAGTTTTCTGAACTTTGTGATATATGTCATCTGCGCAAACAAATACAAAAGCAAGAAAGCAGCTTGAGCTAATCAGGAGTTAAAAGACTGTCGTCATGGGAATTTCACTTCAAAATTCTGTATATATGTGCACAAAGTACATGTTGAAGCAGCGACCGTAACAAGAGAACTTTAACCATCCTGTACTCTGTATTTGATGCTACTATACATTTTATACTTTTTGTTCTGTAGATATTAATTTATTGAAGCTACTTGTGGAATGTAGCTTTGCTTCCAATGCGTCTACTTAATCTGGTATATCTGATTAACTTCTTTTTTGTTGTTAACACGTGCAGTACCCTCCAAACCAAAAGTACTATTTGCATTGCTTGAAACTGAAACAAGCAATTCCTTGCGTCCATCTAGCTGGATGGGAACACTCCTTACATTTCCCGGTGAACCAATTTTGCCTGCATCCGCAACTAATCTTAAACCCGGTCAATGAAAATTTAAAACTGTATCATCTTCAACCTGAACAAAGTTGCGCAACAGCAAGGCTTTAAAAGCCTAGAAAGTCAATCAATCATAAACAAATCCCATGGCACCGCCCATCTCTCCTGAATTCGCTGCGCATGGCGAGCACGACGACCGGTGGTAGACACCGGAGATCTCTGGGGCAAAGAACTGCAGGTAAGCAGGTTGAGCTTCTTCTGAGCTGGCGTTTGTTTCACGGTGCAGCAGACGGTAGAAGAGGTGATATCAGCAAAGCACCGTGATTTGATCATCCGATACCATAATTATTGTTTTCGTATTTACTATATATCTATCGATCAAATATAAATATAGTATGATTACATTGTAATAACTTCAATAATATAATGTGTGTGTAACTTTCACACGCCGGGTCCATGTCGATATTCTGAAAATCACCAACTAGCTCACTCGAAAACATGTGGTGCTCTGTTCTAAACCGGCCAAGCCGTTGTTGCTGACGACGTGAAGGCAGCATGGGAGCACGACGCCGGATCGATCAACGGAGCGGACCGCGGCGCAAACGTGGTTGATCAGCCTGCAGTCCGAATTGTATTCGCATTAAATCTAGAGAACTAAAACTAAGTAATCTCTACCCAGCTAAATAAATCATTGCTCAACCGATTACTAACAGCAGCATAATAATTAAACTAACCGATCTTTAGCTCCATGAAGCTAAACTATGTACACACATGGGCTTAGCACACGATGATTGGTTCGTTGTAGTCCACGACATGCGTGGTATGTACATACACGTACGAGCTTGACACCAACCGCATCTGCTCTAGTACCATGTATGCTATTTGGTTGTACCAGGAGCAGACCAACAGTATAAGAACCGGTGTCAGATGATACCGACGACTTGTAGTAAAATATATAACAAAACTATTTATCCATATATTATAACATCATGATTTAAATATAATTAGTATACTATGACAATGATAAATAAGTTATGGCATCAACGAATCGATTTTCTGGATCCGCCACTCTCGTGCGTATTTGGGCTAAAAAAAGGGGGGCAAAATATAAGGGACCACCTATACATTTATCGACAATTTGACAGATATAATTATAGTACAATCGTAGTATAATTCTTATATGTAATTACACTGTAACTTGCACGTAACTACAGTGTAACTTGTATATAAGTTTCATGTAATTTTAAACCTTTAGATCTATTACAAGATTTGTTTTGGTGAGGAAGAAAAATAAAATCACAGCACACATATATGTGTAAGGATTTGTTCCCACAACTTCTGTTTTACCGAAATAACATATTACGTAGAGATTTTTGAAAGTGACATACAAGTTACACTATAGTTACAGTGTAATTACATGCAAGTTACAGTGTAATTATACTATGATTGTACTGTAATTACATCTGTCAAATTTTTGAGAGAAAATTTATCGATAAATATATAGCAAAATCGAAATATAATGGTGCATCAAAAATTCTATGCGAGGGTCGCACGTCGCGAGACCGGCCTTGTCGTTGTCTTCCCGCGTGCGTGCATTTCGCGCGAGTTTGTCGCGGCAAACTCGGCGCGTCGCGATGTATATATGCTATAGTAGTAGTATCGTTGAACCAGCTAGCTCCGAATCCTTCAACGTGCGAGAGGAGCGGCTAATTAAGCTAAGTTATTAGCTGAATTAATCGTTCTTGCACAGCTAGCTAGCTAAGCTGTCTGTCTAGCTATCTGCGTCGCACGATGTGGTGTTGCAGCGGCGCCGAGGAGGAGCTCCACGGCGCGCCGGCCGCCAACCCGGCGGCGCCGCCACCGCGAGCACCAGGTTCGAATTGCGCAGTCCTAGTTGATTAATTTGTCCGTAATGTTCGCCGCCGGCCGTCGTGATGACACTTTGGAATGCAGGGCCGCCGAGAGGGCCGAACGCGCCGAGAGCCGGCGGCGCGCCGGCGAAGGTGCTGCCGATCGACGTCCCGGCCGTGGCGCTGGCGGAGCTCAACCGTCTCACCGGCAACTTCGGCGACAGGTCGCTGGTCGGGGAGGGATCCTATGGCCGCGTGTACCGCGCCACGCTGAGCACCGGCGAGGCCGCCGCCGTCAAGATGTTCGACAACAACGGCGGCTCCGGCCAGTCAGAAGCCGACTTCTGCGCGCAGGTAAACGAGAAAACCGCACATTCGGTTCAAATTCAGCAAGAAAAAAAAAAGTGCAAATGCTACTCCAAGAGTATTCATCAGCGCCAAAAACTAACTCGCGTACGTGTTTTGTTCTTGCCTCTATCGGTCACGACACGGCACGCACTGCACGCAGCTGTCCGTGGTGTCCAGGCTCAAGTGCGACCACTTCACCCAGCTGCTGGGCTACTGCCTGGAGCTCAACAACCGCATCGTGCTCTACGAGTTCGCCACCAAAGGCTCCCTCTACGACATCCTCCACGGTACAAAAAAAACCAAATTAAACTCACTACTAGTAGTACTCATCACAACATATGCTGTGCATCAACGACGACCATTCACGTGTCGTTGCACCAATTGTTCTAAAGGAACCCCGTTTGAAACGCATAAATTTTAGGGAAATACTACAGGTCCATATCCTGTTCGGACAGGATGATACCTCAGAGGTATCGTCTGATACCTAGATATCAACTGATACCTTACTAGTATCAGGTGATACCTCAGAGGTATCATTCCGTTTAAACGGTGTATCAGTTAATACTTTATTCTGTTCGAACCGGATACCGTGCTGTAGTATTTTCCGAATTTTATGGTATTTTGCATCTCATTGTGGGGTTTTCATGATTTTTATTATTGCAGGGAAGAAGGGGGTGAAGGGGGCGGAGCCCGGGCCGGTGTTGACGTGGAGCCAGCGAGCACGGATCGCGTACGGCGCGGCGAGGGGACTGGAGTACCTGCACGAGCGCGCGCAGCCACCGATCGTCCACCGCGACATCCGCTCCAGCAACGCGCTCGTCTTCGACGGCCACGACGCCAAGATCGGCGACTTCAACCTCACCAACCAGTCGCCGGACTCCGCCGCCCGCCTCCACTCCACCAAGGTGCTCGGCACCTTCGGCTACCACGCGCCAGAGTAAGCTCGATCACGAATCCACGATGACAATATGAACTCGACTATCGAAATCGGTGGCAAATCGTTTAACTGTGATATTAAAATTGGAGATGTATAACATATTTGTTCTCAATATATTTGATGGTCTAGACCAAACACAAATAGTAATCTCTTTTGCTTTTAACGGACCCGCATTTTGAGTGTGACAATTTTATTGAATATAGGAGGAGAACCACAAATAGTAATCAATTGCAATATTGTGGTTTGATCCTCATACATTTCTGTTTTGAACAACTTATAACATAACGAATTAACTAAACGATATACTACACTATGTATGTCACTATGTATGTCAGGTATGCAATGACGGGACAATTGACCCAGAAGAGCGATGTTTACAGCTTCGGTGTTGTCCTTCTTGAGCTTTTGACTGGGAGGAAGCCTGTGGATCACACCATGCCCAAGGGGCAGCAGAGCTTGGTTACCTGGGTAAGGTTCCCATTTTCGAGCCTTGATATCAGATACAGTGCTCATTGTTCACTCAACTGACTCTTAATAAGCCGTGTCAAAAAAAAAATCTCTAGGCCACTCCAAGGTTAAGCGAGGACAAGGTTAAGCAGTGCGTGGATCCCAAGCTGAACGACGAGTACCCACCAAAGGCAGTGGCCAAGGTAGTTATCTGAATTCTGAACTGTTTTTTTTCTTCAGATCAGCAAGTCGTTTGTGTCAGGATCGGCTTAGCAAACTTGCTGTGTATAATCTGGTATATTTTCTGAACGAATCAAAATGTTCATGTGTCCCAGCTCGCGGCGGTGGCGGCGCTGTGCGTCCAGTACGAGGCTGATTTCAGGCCCAACATGACGATCGTCGTCAAGGCTCTGCAGCCTCTCATCAGTGCTCGTCCAGGAGATCATTAGCTTGATTCAGAGATGTTGATGTCTTCTCTCTTTTTGTTTTCAGTGTTTTAATTCGTCGCTAATTTAGTGATGATAATTTAATCATTCATTATTCGATGCATTATTAGCTCCGTTCAGTACTTCGTCATGCATCCTTGTCTCCCCTCATTTTCATCGAAACTACTCGTATGTAACTAGAGTGGTCTATGGTCTACTTGGCCTACACTATATATGTTATGTAAGAGAACATACATACGAGTGACTAGTGCCAAATGTAAAAATCATGAATAATTCTCTTTCAAAAAAGAAAAGTACAAACACTGCTCGCTCCTTTTCTAACTATATTTTTGTTTGAAACAACGTGTGACAAATAAACTTTAAGTAAATTTCACAAAGTATTAGGTTTTGAGTTATGCCTGTCACAAAACCTTGGATTTTGGGGTTTGTTTCAATAAACATAAGATTTTAAGGTAACTTGTTACATAAACCCCGCTCTGTTAACTCTATCATACTAACTTGTGGGCCACGTTTGTTAGCCATTGCTTCTTATCTCCCTTCTTTTATCAACAATGGCCAAGTTACTCGGAGTTGAGCTATAAGCTAGCAAATCATCGATCCAGTATGTCACATTGTTCATCTTTGCCGAGTTTCAAATTTCACGGCTACTAACACTCATAGTATCAATGAGTACCGCCTATGCAACTCTGAGCTTTTTACTCTACCAGCAACCACAGGATCATTTGCATCAAGCTTTGTTGTTGGATTTACCCTCACCTACCATTGGATCTTTCGCACTAAGCTCTACCTCATCCTAGCATAGCATCTTAGTGTATAGCAGAGGGAGTGATTGTAGTGGTATCCATGACCTCTTTATCTTACGTCATCCACTACCATTTTCCCATCTTGGTGAAATGCCTTGGTGATGCGGTCGGCGGATTGCCTTCAAGAAACTCCTTGTACGACTCGAGGATATTAGCTTGCTGTGTCTTTGTGTACTCAATATTAAATAGGCGATACTGGATTCCCTCTCCCTTTTGTGAAGGTCAATTTATACTTTAGAACTATCCTTTGTTCACAAAGAACTTGAGGGCTCATTTTGGATATTATCTCAGGCGGTTCTAGATAGCTCCAAGTCGGACTATGGTCCTATTTGGGAAAGTTCAAAGATTCTGAAAAAATAATTAGTTGGTAGTAAGTCAGCTTCTAAAAATCTGAAAAAAGCTAGGAACCCTAATTTTTAGCTTCTAGTTTATTTTCTCGATTATATAACTACAACTTCTCATAAACTGGACTGTTTGAGGAGCTTTCAATTCTGATAGAAACTGCAACTGCCAAAATCTCTTCTAAACAAGCCCTATCTTTTCTTACCTAGTAGAACACTCATTCCTTATCTTCTCACGACTCTATTCCAGAATTTGTTTTTTAATAGAATTTGGTATACGATATTTCTAACTAAGATATGTGCACATACGTAGGGTATTGTATTAATACCTTCATTGCCAATAGGAGTGAGCCCCTGCTTGCTCCACTGTCTTCTAGAACCTTGATCCATGACTGCATGTATCTCCATTTCTGCGCTCACTTCATCATCGTGTTCCTACTCATTAAGGGTCCACTCCTCCTCAAGCATGTACAATGGCAAGCTATAAGCTAGCTATAACCACATATCGAGATGAAAAGAGAAGAGAGAGAAAAAGGCGGGCTGTAGATTTGTAGCCAGCTGCAACACGAACTCCAAAACGTTATGTGTGTATGAGAGGTGGGACCAGGTATTAATAATGTAGTACTCCCTCAGTCCCATATTATAAGGGATTTTAAGTTTTTGCTTGCAACGTTTGACCACTCGTCTTATTCAAAAAATTTTGAAATTATTATTTATTTTATTTGTGACTTACTTTATTATCTACAGTGCTTTAAGCACAACGTTTCGTTTTTTATATTTGCAAAAAAATTTGAATAAGACGAGTGGTCAAACGTTGCAAGCAAAAACTGAAAATCCCTTATATTGTGGAACAGAGTGAGTATATTTTTATAGTTAACTATTGTATGAATGTGTTATTATATTAGCTATAGATGATTTGAAGCTAGTAGTTGGCTATACTACTCCCTCCGTTTCGAAATGTTTGACAACGTTGACTTTTTAGCACATGTTTGACCGTTCGTCTTATTCAAAAACTTTTGTGAAATATGTAAAATTGCATGCCTACATGAAAATATATTTAACAATGAATCAAATGATATGAAAAGAATTAATAATTACCTAAATTTTTTGAATAAGACGAACGGTCAAACATGTGCTAAAAAGTCAACGGCGTCAAACATTTCGAAACGGAGTATTAAACTTGCTCTCACCAAGTCACCAGACTAAGAAAGGGGAAGAAAAGGCACGTGAGATTAACACACGGAGTTCACCTGTCAAGTGACCGAAAATTAATGGAACTATGTTTTTGTGATACTAGATTACTAATTGCTTAAAAAATGCATTATTTATTGAAACATCCATAAATCCTAGTGTTCTGTGATACTCATGCTATCTGGGGATTTTTTTTACAAAAGTTATTTAAAAATTATATCATAATAAAAGATTAGTTTCCATTGTATTTTTTTTTACTAGATTCATATGACCTTCCTCTCAGAATTCCCACAGGAGCTAGGATCAGATCACGCGATGAATTGTGCCTGATCCCAGTCTTCAAAAGCGGAAAAGAAAAAAAAGAAAAGCCAAACCCCGTTGCGAGCCGAAAGCATCCGAGAGCCCCAGACGCGGGGGCATGGGCGTTCACGTGCGGGTCACATGGCCATGTCCGCAAGTGGAAAGCCCCAAATACCAAACCCCTAGGAGGGCCACGGGTGCACTGTCACCCAAAAGTAGTAAGAAATTCTTTTGCAGTTAACGAAAAAGGAAGTCGAAAAAGAACCAAAGCCCAAAGAGCAAGTGCAACTCCAACTCTTGGCCACTGCTCCCTCGCTCTACTTAATTAAACCCCAATTAGATGATGGTGATAATGATGGCACTAACGCTAATCTCGATCTATAATCTAGTAATCTCTACTAACCCCGAGCTGTTCGTCCAATAGAGTATCATGGCCACTGGTGTACAGCTGCGTACTATTACTAAATTTGTAAGTTTGTTGGGAGTTTTTCTATGCGTTCTTCTGTCCCAATCAGCTTACGGATTGTGCTTAAAGAAGGGAGGAGTACTAGTTTACTACGCAGGCTATTGGGTTAAGCAGGACAGGTTAAACAGTTTTGCTAAGTCACTTTTTTTATTACGCGATTACATTTTTTTAGGAACTATTAAGTGATTATTACTAGGACTGAGAAAGGTAGACCCGTTGAGTTAGCTAGGATTTTGGACGTCATGCGAAAAAAACATATTAGTGCATAATTAATCGATTATTATTATAAACTTGGAAAAAATATATTTATTTTTTAAAAAATCACATGAAATACGCTATTTAATTGTTCAGGAAACGTGATTAAAAAAGAAGAAAGATACCGTTTACCGAACTCAGCCTAACTCTCTCTTGTATGTACTCCATGTTTCATATCTCTTTCTCATTAACTTTTCTATTTATGTGTGGAAGTTACACTAGCAATTTTTCCAAGGATTTTAAGTACATAAGCAAGTACTGAAGTTTCGTAAGATTTAAAAATCAGGCTATAAATATTTAAAATTTATATTACACTACATATAATTCATAGTGTAAATATATACAGAAATTTTGGTGTCCTTTAATAAAAACACGGTCATAAATATAACGGCCAATTTATTTGGTCTTATTGTTAAAAAATCCACGAAGTAAAAAAAAATCATCTTATTGATACATTTATTATCACGTAAAATGGTATTTTACACCTCACGTATCCATCTTGCAATGGTATTTTCTGAATTTTATTTTTCCTAATACAAACTTATTAGTATATTTTGAGATTGAACACGTCATCTACTACTTAAAAAAGTAATTAGGGTGTGTTTGGATAATGAAAAATAGGGAGTGGGATTGGGATTAGTAAATGAACGAAGGGTTAGGATTAAATGAAAGAGGGAGAATGAATGATTAAGATTTAAATATGTCTTTTGGTGGGTGGAAAATCATTTCCCTATCACATTAGCCAAACATTGCCTTAGTCATAGGTGAATAGATCCCACTGCAAGAAACTCAATCAGTTGATCTACGTTTATTTTACATGTTTTCTAAATTTTCCCTTTGTATTATTTATATATATATATATAGGACACTCATATGGGGCACCATGGTGCCCGGGCACCATGATATCAAATACACAAAATCACTCAAATTTTTCAAAATTTTCAAATTGTGAGTATATACCTAATTATAATAACTCGATTCATACCTATACCTATCAACAAAACAACTCAAATTTAACTTTATTTCACAATCCATGATTACATACCTAACTAATTATATGTATGGATGCTATATACCTAGAATCAAAATCTAACAAAAACAAGTTCAAATTCAGTTCAAACTTGCTTTGAACTAGTTAGTAAAGTAGCTAATGTTAATATCTAAGTAATTGAAAAAGTTTCATACTCATTTGAATTAGGTATATACTCAATTTCAACAATGGTGCCCGGGCACCATGGAGCACCAAACAAATTTAATATATATATATATATATATATATATATATATATATATATATATATATATATATATATATATATATATATATATCTCCCTAGGTTAATTATTGGCGGTAATTAACTCCAGGTTGGCGTCGAGGTAAATCCGCGACACCTCACCTCCCCACGGCGACCCCATCCGCGCCGGCCGGTGATCGGGGTGATGGGGGAAGGATGGGGCCGGTGCGTGCGTGCGATGCGACGCGAGCCCCGGCCTAAGCACAGCACAGCTGACTAGCTGAGCCCCCACACCATCACAGGCTAGGCTATTTATTTATTCAGCTCGCCACTGCCACCCGAGTGCGGCTGCCTTGGCTTTGTCTCGTCTGCCTCCTCCTCTTCTTCCCGCACAGTCCACAGCTCCGCCACTACTGGAGCAGAGCTGAGCTGAGCCGAGCAGGTACCCCGGTCGATCCCTCCTCTTCCCCCATCTTTGCTGCTCTTCGCTTGTATGGTTGGATGCTGCCTTAGCTAGCATCATCTGCTGCTTGTTCGTTTCTTGGAGAGGAACGGGCTGTGCTGCCCTGTAGTGTGGTGTTCTCTTTCTCTGATGATTTTGGGGGGGACAAGAGATGTGGTGAGAGATGTTTGGGAGTTGGGGACTGGAGGGTGCTCTTGTTTAGTTCGTATTTTTTGTGATCAGGGCTTAGCATCTTTGAGATTAACAAAAAAACTTGAACTTGTATGC